GGAAATGAGAAAAATAAGGTGAAACTCTGCCAAAATTTAGTTCGAGTAATTTGAACTAAAACTGGATTTCAAGAGGAATATGGGATTAAAGTGTGAAAAGAAAGATGTTTCGATAATCGGTGATGGTTAGAAACCGAACACTACGAGAATTTATAGTTTTGGACCGAAACTGAAAATTAGGCCCATGACTGAGTAATTTGCACGATTTTAGTGCAAATCCTTGAGATAGGAAATAGTTTGAGATTGACTACCAAACATAAGGATTGTAGACCTTTCCGAAGTAAATTTCAAAGTAATTATTGATCTTAGATTCTGAATCTAACGATCAAAAAATTTATGCAATAGGGCCGATTAACGGTTGAAGTTGGAAAGCGTCAAGGGAGACAAATGACGCGTTGTTAGCGAAACTTCGGTAAGTACAATAGTTTTTCTATGGCTATGTCATGAACAAGTTTGCTTTTCTATGTTGCCCAAAGATTGTGCATATAGTAGAATTTTGAATGATAGATACAATGTGAATGCTAGATACTATGTTAAGTAAGTATCTACAAGACTTATGTAATCGTAGAACTTTATTCTGCAAAAAGTATGTATCAATGTTAAGTCGAGATCAAACTAAGAGAAATGAAAGGTTAAACTTTAACGAAAAGTTAATCTCATGATAAAATGCTCAATAATGCACAAATTCATAAGATTTAACTAAAGTTACCGTTTCAATGAGAAAATTGATAAATGGTAAGAGACCAAACGTCCTATTTGTACCAGCCTTCGAAGAAAAGGTTATTATGAGACTATGAAAGATATGAAACCGTGACTGAGTTGGATTGGTTAGCTACCCCACTCCTCACTGGTTATGTGCGTTATGGTACAACATGACAGGGCCCCTAAGAAGTAAAAGACAAGAAAATGAAACATGGAAACCATTCCATATAACGATATGGTATCCGTAAACAAGAATGAAAAGAATGAAAAATACAGAATGAAAGTCGTTTAGAATTTTGTACTAGGCTATATGATATGAATGCATTTATGGGTATGCATAATTATTGCATCTGTTATGACCTATTGATACTTGCTGAGCAAAAGCTCATTAAGTTTGTTCGTGTTATAGGAAGCACGGGTAAGGCACCGGCTCCCTAAAACTTGATGCTGGGCATGCAGAGAGGGTGTAGCAGCGGAATGTGGGCAAGTGGGTTGTGGACGCATCATGTGTTTTGGAAACGCTGCTGAACTTTATATGTAAAATAAAATAGTGTGTTATGTATTTGATGACTAGTGTAATAGAATGTTGTCAGAATGCTGCAGCATTTTAACGTACATGGTAAGAATGAAAAAAAAAGGCCTGAAATTTTATAAAAGTTATAATTAGGGTCGTCATAGAGGTTAAGAAATGGTAAGTATGAGCGTAAGATGATGACCAAAAGTTAGGGTCGTCACATGATTTCTAGGCCATCAGTGGGCTTACCAGTTTGCAAGATATCTTATCTTGAAGAAAATATATTTTAAAACTTTAATTCAGTTCATTATGATTTCAATAGCAATAATCATGTTATCTCCTTAAACTATTTTTCTTTACAAAACATGTTTTAACTTCAAAACATTTTCATAAGCCATAACTCTTTAAAATAGGCTAACAATAATATGGACAAGAATATACTACCTCTCCGGTAGAGTTCTATAGCTAGCTCCTTGTCGTCCTAGCCCGACTTCCTTCAAAGCTCAACCCTTGCCTTTACGCTATTTTCGCTATTAAAATAATGTTCCAAGATTTAGACTTCATCATCACAACCAAATCAAATTCAATCATGTATAATTGTATAATACTAGTGTGCCTTTACTTAAATCCAAAGTCCATAAACAATTTCATACTTCAAATCATGATTCTTTGAGAATTGGAACCCACACAAGAAAAATAGGATTGAATGAGGAATAATGTGGCTAGTCCACTCACTTGAGTTCCCAAATGAAGCTAATTTGGGTTCTCCGTTGACATTTGAGGTCAAAACGAGGTTTTAAAGCATTTTTTGGGTCGGAACATGTGCACACCGATCGACCAGTGACAGAGAAGTGTAACTCCACCAGTCGGCCGGTGGAGTGGTGTCCCGTTGACTGGTGGGGAGCAGACAGGCCAAAGAAAATGGCCTATCCGCGAGGAAAACCTGCAAATCTAAGTTCAATTTCGAGATATTTCAAAGGAAAATTATCAAATCGAGGTTCCAATCAATAAATTGAGTTCAAAAGAACTAAAATCCCTAAATCTCATCATAATTTCAACCAAAACCGAACTCAATAATCAAGTTTAAGCTAAGGATTCTACAACCAAA